ATTTATTCTGCAATGCATGGCATTCTGTGAATGGAATGGCGTGGAGTTGAATGACAGAATCTCCACCACTCCATTCACAGAACGCAATGCATTGTGGGATAATAGTAATAATACAAGCAGTCTGAATGGTGATGAGAGCAGAGAGGGATGGGCCAGCAGTACAACTTTGCAGGCTATTAGCGGCTGTTAATTCTCACAGAGCCAGAAGACAGCCACTGAGGGTAATATCCAGTGGCTGTGAAGGGGGCAGTGAAGTGAGGATTTTACAGAAAAAGCAGCAGCCTGCGGGAGATGGGATACACACCAATACACATAACTCAGATGTTTGGTGCTGTATCCTCCCCTTAGTTTTAAGTAAATCTCTTTGACAGTTGTCACCTGAACAAATGTTCCTATTAAAAAAATTCCCTTCTATTCCTATTCTGGTCATAACTCAAAATTTTGGACTTTCCATCTCTTTCTGTCCCAGTGGCAATGGTCACCAGGGTGAATAAAGAGGGTGAAACTCGGACAGCCTCAGCCTGACCCAATGTTTACATCCCCTAGTTGAAATAATCTTCACCACTGGCCACACCTCTAAGTGAGCCTTCATAGACATACCTGTTCAGGTTTGAGTCTGGATGGCTAGGCTGGGAAGATAAATGTACTTTTACTTTGTCTGACTATACTCTTAGGCTGCATTCACACTAGGTGCGAATGTGCATTTAGGGATTCCTGCGGCAGGTACCTACAAATTCCTGCAGCAGCAATCCCAAATATGCTGTTTAGAAGCAGCTGCTGTCACCCATTCAAGCTAATTACTGGATGACAGCGGCCATATTTGAAAGAGCAATCCGCCAGCACTACGCATGTAATTGTATGTGATACGATTACATGGGGTTAGGAATAGATCACTATCCCTGGAAGCATCTATCGTGCATTACTATCGCATTTACCGTGCGTCCAAAGATAGTAAACTATACCTAACTGCATGTAAATCATATCACATACAATTACATGTGGAGTGCCTGGCGGTCTGCTGCTTTCAAATGCGGCCACTGTTACCCAATCATTACCTTGAACGGGTGACAGCAGCCACTTCTAAATGGCATACTTGGGACAGATAGTGCCAATTAATTCTATCGAACGCCTTCTCCGCATCCAAAGTCAGGAGCAGAGAAGGCGTCTTGGAACGTTCTACGTTATGAATTAGATTAATAACTCTGCGGGTGGCATCCGGAGCACCCCGGTCCTTTATAAAGCCCGACTGATCCGGATGTATTAGGGAGGGGAGTACGTCCATCATGCGTATTGCCAGCATTTTTGCATACAGTTTAACAAGGCATACTTGGGATTCCTGCCACATAGCATCCTCTTATTTTCCTTTTTATTTTGTTACATATGACAAAGTTGAGAAAGAGGGACACCTTCCAGCACAATGCATTTCGGCTACTGACACACCCCTGCCATGCCCCCAGTTATGAAGTTATATGACAAAAATGATTGATAATCCCAGAATTGTTTTTTCCACTGCAGCCACCTTGCCCCAAGGAGGGTGACTACTCAAATTCAGTTTGCTAAGACTGTATGCAGTCTAGCTGATTGTATAGTCTGTACTCATCTGGCTTTCCCTAAGGATTCTGTTATTGCTTGCATATGCCTGCTGCTGTGTAGCCTTGCCACAGAGGAGAGCAACTAATAGTGCAATGTTATGGATATCTATGTCTCTCCAGCCAATCACTAGGAGTTTCATGGCCAGTGGTGCACTTTCTTCTTTATAATTTCAGAGCTTCCATGGTGGGTCATGTCTCTTTCATTCTGCTTTCACTATGCCAACACTCCAGCTCACAATTCTTTATCAGATTTTTATCAGATATTAGCAGGTCTGAAACACTTTGAGACATACAGTATAAGTGGTCTCTTGTTGGTTATCGCTTATGTATGTAAACTGACAGTTGAATAAACATTTGTGTGAATGTCTTTAACTTATTTGTTTCTTTTAAAATGTTTCATACAAAATGTATTAAAAGCCAAAATGATGGACTCCATTTACTCTATAAATTGAGAACTATTATCAATATTATTCATAGTTCTATACTCATTTCCACTGTGTCTGTGAAATATTCTTGTTGACAAACTGAGCCCCCTAGTGGTAGACACTCTACTTTTTATGTAGTGAGTGCTGCTTTCTACCTGCCCATCACTTTCAACATCCTCCTGGATTCCCAGTGTGCTTTGCACCTCTTTCCCTGCTCCTTGATGTGACAAAATCTCGATTTCCCAAGACTACATAGCTTATAATGCATTGCTTCCAGCAAGCACTGATAATGGTAGATAGAAAAAAACTGCGCTAGGAGTCAAATAACACTCTAAGGCCCCATTCACACCTGACCGTTTTGTAGCGCGTCCTACTCTCGATGAACGCTCTACAAAACGGTCAAAAAAATAAATAGCATTGTAGTCAATGGTATCGTTCCCACCTGTCCGTATTTCCGCCCGTCCCGAACGCACTACAAAACGGCCCACGCATGAAAAGGTCCCGGAGCGTTTTTTGCTGCGTATTGGTCCGTTTTGTAGGGCGTTTTCCATTTGTATACTGCCAAGTAGCCTTTGGAATCGCGCGACGGTCGCGCAACTTTTTTACCGCGAATCGCGGTAAAAAAACCGCGTGACGGTCGCGCGACAGACGCGCATATTACACTACGCATAGGTGTGAATGGGGCCTAAGAGCAGCAGTGCTTAATAGGTGAGTACACCCAAAATAGAATAAAAAGAAAGAAAATAGCACTGTGCTTCAAACTCAAAACTTATATTCCTAAAATGTGAAAAAAATTAGTATAAAATGTGAAATTGTCACAAAGTGATCAACTATTTTCTGTTATACACAACACCTGTGTTGCACAATGCCTGTGCTGATGATGGTAAGAAAAAGCTCTAGGTCTAAGCCCTCGTTCACACCTGAACGTTTTGTAGCACGTTCTACGCTCGACGAACGCTCTACAAAACGCTCAAAAATATAAATCCCATTGTATTCAATGGTCTCGTTCCCACCTTGGCATATTTCCGCCCGTCCCTAACGCGCTACAAAACGTCCCACGCCTGAAAAGGTACATGTACTACTTTGGGCCGTTTTGTTGCACGTTTCCATTGGGATACAGCCAAGTAGCCTTCGGAAACGCGCGTTTGTCGCGCGACTTTTTTACCGTGAATCACGGTAAAAAACGCGCGACAGACGCGCATATGCAATACGCCTAGGTGTGAACGAGACCTAATGGTCTAGACACTATAAACCATAATAAACATGGGGAAAAAAACATTCTAGTACATCTCATAAAATGTGTACATATATAAAATCCTGTGTTAAATCTCACAAGTGATAATCCAATCGGCCAATCAGCGGGAGAAGAGGTCAGAATGGAGCAGATGACTGAGGACTTGGAGGAGGAGTTCGCGGCCATCTTGCTTCATTGAATACGCGATGGAGGTCCTGTGTGCGGCGGATTCGGGTCCCTGAAGATGGCGGACGCGGCACAGGTACTCGTTTTTTGTATCGGAGTATTGTGCATCCCTAGTCTAGACCATTAGACCTAGAGCTTTTTCTTACCATCATCAGCACAGGCATTATGCAACACAGGTGTTATATATAACACAAAATAGTTTATCACTTTGTGACAATTTCACATTTCATACTAATTTTTTTCACATTTTAGGAATATAATTTTTGAGTTTGAAGCAATGATAATGTTTCATTGTTCAGACGCTGGGTTGTAGTTCACAAGGCAGACTTTGTGAAAGGTGAAGACAGGAGAGAGGAAAGTGCATATTCACAGGGCTGAGTGAAAATGTGTCAGTGCATTGAGAAAGTGCACCCCATGAACATCTTCAGTAAGTAGGTTTATAAACTTCTAGATGGATATGGTTATTAGGAGTGGGATAGAATTTATGGAAATTCAATACAGAAATACAGATGTATTTGTAGTTTTGGACCATAGATACCCTTTAATGGGATTTTCTGGGAACGCTGAAAGTGTTCAAAAAGCCTCTGAAACCACCAGTCTATAAATGCTTCAACTCCCTCTGGACTTTCTTAGATGGCAAGTAGTGGACACTTTTTAGGACACAACATTTAGGCAGAAACGCCATCTATTCCACATACCAAATCATTCAGCTAACCTTTTCCGGATTTGCCACAAGGCCACTGAGGCCCGGCCTTGAGGCGGCAGGGAGCAGAGGGTCGGTGTGGAACGTCCATTCTCCGCTCTGCTCAGTGTAATCAGTGAGAGGGGAGAGCTGCACTAACGGTCTTCCCCTTTCAGCTGTCACAGGAGTTCCAGCACAGTGCTGTGCTAGAACTCCTGTATTGGAGGTGACAGGTTCAATAAAGAAAACCTGTCTTCTCCAAATGCTAGCACACAGGGGCTTGTTACTTCCTGTGTGATAGCAATAAAGTTGAGTGAAAAAAATTACAATTGTTAAACAAATAATTAAATAAATACAAATAAATGAAAATAGGTAACAAAATAATAGAAATAAGAAATATTTAAAAATAAAAAAGGGATTAAAAAGGAAAACATAATAAGGAAACATTTTTAAAGAAGAAAAAAAGTAAAATATAAGATAAATACAAATTTTAAAAAGTTAAAAAATAAAAACAAATGTAAAAAATAAAAAAGTGATAAATTATTATTATCACAAGTTATTGTGTTTGAGAATACTAAAACAATGTTCCCCTAGTTAAACCTTATTCACTATTACCAGCACTTCATCAGAGACAGACAGAACACACAATCATTGCAACTAACAAGGTGTCAAATGTCTCATATTTTCCAAAACATCATGGGGGTGGGGGGAGGATGGATGTCTAATGAAATATCCAACACTAATGAAAAAGAACACCTATTACAGGTGAAAATATTTATGACACGCTAGGGGGAATAATAAGATGTGTCTGAGACAAGTTCTGTCTCAATTGATACAGTTACCCCGCAGCAACAAATCGGCTTCTATATTCATTTTTTCCACACTGTTTAATTTAAAAGCTGAATGGCTCCTGTTGAGAGTTAGTTGAGTTAAGTTCTAAAAGTCAGCACTCTCAGGAAGATCCTAATGGGAGTGCCAACTGTCATTTTAAACAAGCTGCTAGCAGGCTTTCATCAAGCTTCAGGGCCTGTTCACACCATCCAATGCGTTCACGGCACGGTTCCATGCCATGAACACACTGGATCGCATAAACAAAGCCTCTCCGCATTCTGAGACGGGAAGGGGCATGGTCATTCAAATCATTTCAATGGCACCAAAGACACACCTCCCGCCTGCAGTGCGATTGCCTGGATCACTGGAATGCGCAGTACTGCAATGCTGTGCATTCCAGTGTGGTGCAATTGCAAAAAATGTGCTTGCAATTTTATTCTGAAGTAAACTTTGTACCATAATGTCCTGTGTTCCAGTGTGGTGCAATCGTAAAAAATAGTGCATGGAACAAGGGGGAGTCTTTGTTTATGCAATCCAGTGGTGTGAACAGGCCCTCAATTTGCATTGAAGCCTACAAGCAGCTTGTTTAAGGTGAAAGTCAGCACTCCCATTAAAATCTGTGTTTAACATTCCCAAACTGGAGCTGAATGGTGCTTTAAAAGCTTCAACAGAGCTTGCCAAAGCTTGCTCTTAAAGCTTGCTCAAGCAACGATAGAAAAAAAAGATGGTGCTACCAATTTGGTAGGTCCCGGGACAGTAGCACAAATGTTTATCAAATCAATATTTTCGATAAAAATATACTAAAAACAGTATCAGAGCACACAAAAATACATGATTCCTACTAAATCTAAAAGATATAACTACATAGAGTTTATTAGAGAACAAATATTTGTACATTTAAAATTGCGCCTTTTTGTGAAATGAGACAAAAATTAAGGATTGCAAAACTGTAAATAAGCAACGTATGCAAAAATCTGGGGGTTGGTCTCACACCTATGTGTTGTGGTAACACTTGATCTACAGTGCCGTTTCTGCATTGCATTGGTGTGTGTTGATGATGTAGGCATACATTTAATTGTAAAGCAGCATATTACAAAGCACGGCATCGCATTGCCACACACAGTTGAATCAATGTTATTTTAAAAAATTAAAAATAAAATATATATATATTAAGGATGGCGATGCACAAGCTCAGCACATGTGCATAGTGCACATCACATTGGGTGCACAATGTTGCAAATGTATGTTATGTGTGTTGTGGGCTTTATTTCTTTTTTAACTTTTTTTTTTTGTCGGGGGCTTTTGGGGAATATCAGGAGTCTAAACAGACCC